TTGGGGCTTAAATTTAAATTTCACATTATATATTAAATATTACATTACGAAGTTGTAACATACGTATGTACCTAATAGAGTCAAGCATGTGCCAAAATAATTTACTAAAATTGCCTTCATCATTAAGTGTATATTTTACTTTTTTATAGACGTACTTAGTTTTGTTCATTTAGATGGTTATCAAAGAAGGTCTCAATTTTCCTATATTTTTTTTTTAATTTTTTAGTTTACGAATTCATGCATGAATATACTTTTTTCACTTTTTGGGACTACATTCACGTTTTACCCTCCCTCCTATTCAAAACATTATAGCTCCTTTGCTTTGTATCATTTAAACCTTAACGGCTATAGAATGTTTGAGTGCTACAGGTAGATAGGTACTTCTACCTATTATCTTTTACTTCAGTAACAGTCCATTATTTTGATAGGAAGGAAATGCTATAGATCAGCGGTCTTCAAACTCTTTCTATTCATGGAGCCCTTAGAGCTATAACAAGTTTTCAGGGAACCGCATTCAACACGTTTAAAAGAATTGGCTTTAAAATAATATTTAAAGTATACCAACATGTGTTATAAATATTTTATGTAAAGGCAATTAAAATAGTATTGCAATTGTTATTAAAAAAATTTTAATAAAATATTTTCATATAATTTACTAATTAATATTATTAATTTGTGATCCGAGTTTCACCTATTTCATTTATATTTAGTAACTGGGATAGGTGTTAGTATTTTTTACACGAACTGTCGAAGTCCAGATCTATCGAAATTTCACATCCTGCGTTTAATTTACTTTTATATTTTGCTTTTGTTACCACATATTTTGACAAATATTTTTACTGAAATGCGTTGTTCTGAATGGTATTAAAATGTTTATAGCTTCGGTAGAAATCCAGTGCATTTTGCATGAATTTTCAACCAAAAATTTAGAAGCTGTTTTTGAGTAAATTTAGATTTTAAAGTCAAATCCGTTGAAACGTTGATAAGCTGTTCCCTCACCTTCACATTATAGGTATTTCTTCCCCCTACAAACGAAAAAATGACATTTTCCATTAGAAAATTATTTAAATTTTGCAAAATATTGTACTAACAAGTATAAAATAAATTCATGGATCCTGGGATAGTAAACAACTGAATATTCACAATCTAGTAGGTACCTTAGAATTTTAATGATTGGGTTCGGTTTTATATACTTCTGATTATACAAACTTTATAGAAAACTTGAGATCCTTTTTTTTTTTTTTTTTTTGCATACATATTTATAACTTTCTTTTCGATTTTTTTATTGTGTTTCGTGGAACCACAGGGTTCCATGGAACACAATTTGAAGACCACTGCTATATGTTCCTACACTCCTCACTTAACTGTAATTGAGCGCCATACTTTCCCGCCTTCCTACCCTAACTGAAACTTTTGATACCCCGCACCAGAACATTCTGGAAACAGGAAGCGCAACGGACGGACGTAAGGTCTTTGTCCGCACCTACCCGCATCACTTTCAAAAGTGTATTTTACATGTATCCGCATTACTACTTAAATATAAATTGTAAATATTAACTGTAAATATAAACATTAGTATTATCTCCAACTATGGCTTTATTTCGAACTCAAGCAACGGCATCACTATAGGTAATACAAAAATTAAGAGTTTCAATAACAAACACTGCAGCTGATGTCAATATTTTAGGTATAATATTACCCTCTAATGTCAAATATCACCAATAAAATCATTAAATACTCTCCAAACCTAAGGATGAGGTAATGCATCTGAGGATGGCACTTCTTGACGCGCTCCTCGCGGAGGGTTAATTATCCACAACTCCTCGGAGTTTAGTACCCAACAGAAGCTGCGTAAGAGTGATTTATATCGCTTAATGCTTTGAAGAGAATGATTAAGTTCGAAGATGCAAAGTGACTGTCAATTCGTATAAGTAGAGGACGTGTCAGAAGAGGTGATAACAGATGTATCAACTGCAGTCATCGACGGATCACAGGGAACCATTAGTGGTATACATATCTTAGACTGTGTGGAATATCCCTTGTGACATGTCGCGTAAGGGCTGTAGGAAATATACAGGGAATATATGGTGTAATCTTTGAGATTGGCGGTTATATTGAATAGGGTCGAAATCCTCACCAGGGAAGTGAATGTTCTGAATGACAACATTTCACTGTTGTTTTCATGTGTTATTACTATTTTCCCTCTAGTTGTAACACTTTTTGCTTTGTACAGCGCCATAAATACCCCTACCACCGATTTTTAAAACTAAATTTTTTTTTTCTCTCGTAATTTTGCTTTTCGTGTTATTATTTGTCTCCATTGCAAGTTAGGTGCCATTTCATTTGTTAAATCGAGCTATAGGTGGCAAGTATAAAACCAAACTTCAATTCACCACTATCTTTTATAACTCCGGTTAACTCAACTACGAGTCTTCAACCTCGTTGGTCAAAATAGACCCCGTGACTGCGTTTATTGTGCAAGCGCAGTTACTTCTAACCCACCAAGAGCAGGTCAAAATTTCCTGACCTAATCTGCGGCAGTGAAACGAACTTTGGTGAATCCCCGTGCGGATTTCTTCCTTCGACAGTCAGTCCTGTTAATGTTTAATACAGCGGTAAGGGGGAAAAAAGAGTCAATAATGCTAAGAAAGTCACTATACTAAAAATAAGTCTAGAGTATTTTTCTCAGATGTAAACACACAAAATGTGTCAGTTTGAAAATAGTATCTTAAGGTATCCGACTACTTGCGAACTCTTTTTTTTTAAAAAAAATGGAGATATGGGAAAAAATTGATAAGAATTTACAAAAAATTACATAAATGGGGCCCATTTTGTGCAAATAGTTTATGAACAATTTTTCAATTTTGGAGTGTTGCTTTGCTTTTCATTTTTGATATGACCTTCAGTATAAGAGATATTTTAATTTTTACAAAAACTAGAGCACTTCATATTACTTATTATATGAAATTGCTTCAAAAAACAGTGATTATATTAGCATAAGGGACTGTAAATTTTGTAATAAAACAGTGATTGATAAATGTGGAGGTACTATATTTAATTCTCCTATGATTAAAGAAAGAGCTAGCTGAACTCTTTCGTACAGACAATATTTTTACGTTTTCTAGATATATTATTTCCAGTCATATGCAAAGCCGAAAAATTTAGAAGAGTATGTTAGAATAGATTTTAAAATACATACTTCCACATTAATTTTGAATGTAATATATTGATATTTAAGTATTAAACCATCGACAGTTTTCCTAAATCAAAAAACGTCGCTAAATGCCATTTTGCTCACTATGCAATGAAGAAACGTTCCGAAGTTGGAGCCGTTTTCTTCATTTTACTGGTTAACAGGCTATTGCGTAAGTTCCATATTATTTACTGTCAAAATTAATTGAAAATACATACTTTAGGTACTTAATCACCTGCGCCGGTGAAATGGAGAAAAGTTGCCAAAATAATACAACCGACGGACTCAAGTGTAGCATAGGGGGGAAGGCCTCTGCATTTGGCGATTTTTCTTTAGAATTGGCGATTTTTATATAGTAATTATGATGATATAACGAATTCATTCTGGCTTCCGGACACCTATTGCTAAGTGAAGTAGCTTGGCGATCGATTTTGGTCACCAAATGAAATTATCGCCAAGCTGCCCCCCCCCATACTACACTTTAACGACGTCAAACGGAATAATCTTACCACTAGTAACTTTTATCGGTACATTTTTATCCGCTTACCTTAATTTTTTTTTTAAATTGCAAAAATTTTTTAAAATTTTGTTATTAAATACAAGGAAATGAAACAAAATAAAATATAGAAGTTTTAAGTAGAACTTAAAATTTTTTACAGGTGTAAATGCATTTCAGTATCAACATTAGTTTACTATCCCGAGTTATCTCGGTCAAATAGAAAAAAGTTTAATTTTAGACTTTGTATGATTGTTTTTAAAACAAGGGACAACACAAAATGATACCTGATATTCTGTACACTGGTATCTGGTCTCTTTTCTTACTTACTGGCTTACCTCTTTACGGGAGCACAGTGTATAATGTCTAGTTGGATTAGATTTTTTTTCAGCAGCAGAAATAACATCTGGAAAATGCCTAGAGGTTGAACTGTGTGGTGAAGGACTAATGCTGGGTCTTCCTGGTGCAGCAAAAAACTCTTCACGATGATTTTTCTGAAATTATTTTTTGAATCTCAGTTCCATTCTAAGTTGTTTAGGTGATCGCGAACGTCCTGGTTTACAGTACAAAATGTAGCCTACGGACAGAAGAATCACTTCCACTATTTTTAATGTCCACCATAATCACTCACTGAAAAATCATCGCTTTTGCTATCTGACATCATCGCTATTATTTTACTTTTTATTTATCAACTGAACTATCCTTCTTTAGACATTACTAATCCACCAGCCGACGTGTACAATACGATAGGGAAAACACGTGACACTATCCCGCCGAAAGATCCACGAAACCAACAAAACTTTGCAAACTGCCAATCAAAGCTGAAAATTTCCTTTCATTTCCTCCTAGCCGAACAAAACCATGATGAAACAAATCGTACTGACAAATACTGCTTCATCCAAGGTTTATCGGAATAATAATTAACTGCAATATATACGAACCTGAGATAACTCGGAATAATCAGGCAAGCGGTTAAAACAAATCGCGAATTTTTCTTAGAAGTCTGGTTAGAGTTCCGATAACCAACTTTCGAATGGATGCAGCGTTCAGGACCGCGGGCGTATAGGCCACCTTTGTGAAGGCACTTAGCTAGAGTAAACAGCGAGACTTGTTGTCCTGTTGTATCCTGTCCTAGAGTATCAAACTCAAAGGCTAACTTGGGTCAAACGAACAAGGTTTAACTTAAGAGGGGCCGCAAAATAAATCAATATTCACAGAAACTTCGGTTTATTTCGAATGGTACATTATAATAAACATGTAAAAGAACAATAAAAATTAATTGATATGTCTTCTATGCAACTATCTATGGCCGACGGCCATACCCCATGCTAAAACACCGGTTTTCGTCCGATCACCGCAGTTAAGCATCATCGGGCGTGGTCAGTATTGGGGGGTAACCACCTGGAACACCGCGTGCCGTTGGCACTCATTTTAACAAGCCGTGGCGGAGTGCACTAAGCCCCGCTGCTCTTCAGTTCATAATTGCAGCAAAGCGAAAGCGGTCAATGTGAAGGAGGGTGACGATTTGCAACCGCAGCTGCTTTTGGGCTGTGGGTTGCCTATTCACTAGGCCTAGTGGTTAGAGCATCAGACGCCAGACCGGAAGCCTGGTTCGATGCCGATGCCACTAAATACTCACAAGTACACACGGAGCACGTGCTCGTTAAATCAATGGTCGAAAGTGTCACATCTATAGTGAGCAAAATCCTACCGCACCTTCATCGCTCAAACTTAGGCTAATACAATATATCTACCGTGCAGGATGAATTTCGTGGCTCGGTGGCATAAGCAACAACAACAGCAACAATCACTCCAATTTCGAGGGAATTTTTTTTAAATTTTATTACATATTATTGTGTGCTGATTTTTTGGTCGGGCCACAAAAATGTCCATTGTGGGCCACGAGTTTGACCCCCTGCTATACACAGTTGCTCAGCATGTGCGCTTTTCTGACTGTGTGTGGTATTGGGCTCTTTTCGCCTCCACTTGTGTTGTTATTGCCTGACCTATCTTGAGCTGTACTCTACCAGAAAACATATCGATAAAAAGACTGGGCTAATGCCCCCGGTTCATTTTTGGTATAGAGCTGACTCACCTGGAGGATTCCTTACTATGAATTACGACAGATGCACCCAGATGGCAATTTCCAGATTTCTCAGTGGACATTTAAGAAGCCTTACCTTCCAGGGTGAGAACAACTACTGGAATTTATTAAACGAACTTTAGTGTTGTATCCTTTATTTCAAGGATTGTTTTATACAATTAATTTGAAGACCTGTCTTGTTCTTTGAGACTGATAGCACAAAATCCTCGAGTCCCGATCTACGTAACAATATTGTTATACATTGGCTAAGCCTTGTAACCATATAAAAGCAATTGATTTTTGTTCATTTATTTATTACATGCAGTTTTTCAATTGCAGTTGTAAACTATATTGTTTAAAAATCTTTTCAAAATAGCAGTTTTACCGACCCGTTCCAAAAAAATGGGTGTTAGACATTCGTTTTTTCGATTAGTTCTGTCTGTAAAACAATGTTTAATACAATAATAGGGTCAGATAAAATAGGACCTAATATCAGGGTCTGTAAAAGAGTTAAATTTGAAATAACATTTTACTGATTTTTTTCGTTACATGTTGCTATATCTAATGAATAAAACAATTCAATTTTTAGAAGCCAAAAAATATTAAATAATTCTATTTAAAAGTTGAAATAAAGCAATATCAATTTTCCAAATACTGTATGCAAACTAATTCTTGATTAAATCATTGGAGACTGAAATGCAAAAGTAATCCATAATGTTAAAATACAGACGGTAGTGTATGTGTACGAGTCATAATGATAAGAATTCATATAAATAGGGGTGGGGGTCTAAGACGAAACGAATTCAAGTATCAATGCATATTTTTCAAAGACAGGAGAGCCAGAATACTATAGGTTAAACAAATACTAGATAGTAAATAAATTTATTGCAACATCAAAAAATTGCAAGAATTTATTGATGGATAATATTACGTCCTTTTTCGAATGCGTTAGGGATGCCTGAAGCCCAAATCTAATATCTTATCAAAATATATTGTCTCAAGGATTTTTATACATTTTGTGTGTAAAATGTACACAGTTCATATGCAACTGCTTTAAAGCTTACTGGAATATTGTAAGTGTCCCACAACTCTTTCTTCACAAACTTTTTTTCTTTTTTTTCAGTTAGCAGCGTATTAGCAACCATGAATCTATGGATACACGGCAACTCCCCGAGAGTGGAAACCATTTCATTGGTGGCACCATCTAGTGGCGGTTTTTGCTACAATTTGTGGAATTTGAATTTTATCGGATGCCATGCGGAATAATATGCCAAGATTTAATTTTTCGAAAGTATGAGATCTAAATTGATCCTCAAGGGATCTTTTACATGCCATTCAATCATATGACATTCGTGCCTACAATTCTCACATCCAGAAAATCTATCGACTGCAACCGCAACTCTGAACTTACGAAGCGGGCACGTTACCTCTAAGCCACCGGAGCCCACTTTGTCATAAACTTAAATCTTTATCGTTTCGATAACATTTTCATCTTTGTAGTAGGGTCACAGCTTCCTAAAGTTTGAGCAGACAAGAAAATTTCTGAAAGAGCGAGTCGTGAGTTCAATACCTGATTCCATCAATTGCAGTATAGTGTGAAACTATTGCATAATATATTTTATCAACTTTCAAATCTTCACATGTGGTAGAATGGTGATTTAGTGGTCCACTACAATCGATATAATTCGTGGTATCCAGCTGGAAATATCAATCAATCGAATTCCTTGTTAATTAATATTACATAGCTGTGTGTGTGGTTCAAAAAAATAATCATCACTCACCTATGTTTAACTAGAATGATTGATTTTAGAATTCTTCAGTTGTAGAATTCTGAGTATTCTTCGCAAACTTGACCGAGGAATAATTTTAAAAACAGTAGACAACAATAGGCAATCTGAATGCTTACAGTAATTATTTTTTTCTTCATATTATACTCGTACATTATGAAATGCTATCAAAGGGAAAATAAGTAAATATTAATGTATAAAAAATAAATTAAATTACTATATTGAATAAATCTTACTACAGTAATTTATTTAATTTTTTTTCAAGCATAAATATCATAAAATATAGCTTGGTAACAGCTTTTCAAAAAAAAAAAGTTTATTCCATTCCATTATGTTTTCTACAGTAATTTTTTTTTAAAAAAATATTGAGAAAAATTTTCCAAGAAATTTAAATTTAGTGTTTCTATTTTTTTAGAATAGATGGCAGCACAACAGATATAAATTATCACTTATGTGTTTGTAGTGTCATCTGCCGGTAAACCTAGGAAGCAATAGAAAAAAGAGAAAAATAAAATTTAAAATTATCATTATTCATTATTGGCATTTGTACAGTGTACATTAAATAGCGTCTTACTTTTCAACAAACAAACGAAAATTAGGGTTCATAACATGAATATTTTTGAAATAAAATATTTACTATGAATTAAACATTCAAATATTTATTATGATAGTTGGATTTAGAATAGTGTCCGACATATAAAAATTTTACAAAAATATATATAAAATAAACTAAATTCAACATACAGCATTCGTGACCTCCTAATTATTGGTCCGTGACTCAGCCGCTGGATTACCACGGATCATTTTAAGTAGGTGCGACATAAACGAAAATATTGTTTATCATCAATTGCGATCAAAAAGAAATTAATTTTTATTCGCTTTCTAATAGATATTTGTATTCAGGTTTAAATAGTTAAAAAATAAATACTTTTTTTATTTCTTACGGGGTTGAGGATTGGTGTTTAAGCTTTCAAAAAAATTTAAAAGACTGTTTAATTTATGTAAACAGATAACAACAAAGAATTATCAATAAATATGTGGAAGTATTGTGAAAATAAATATTACACTCTTAAACCCTGAAGACAAATATCTCTCTTCGGGATACATGTTCTGTAATCTATGTTTTTAGATGATATTAACCTAAAACATTTAAGATAAAAAAAACTTTTTCTTTAAGAAAAATGTGGTATTATTTTAATGTAGTATTATTTTAAATGTAGTATTATTTAGTAAGTATGTAGTACTATTTTAAGTGAAATAAGATTTTGTTTTATTCATTTTTTATGGGGACTTTCATCGTGATTTAACATTGTATTTCACATTTTTAAATATAAAGCGACAACCATTGGGAACGAATTTTTTCCCCTTTCTATGGGACTACTATCTACAAACATATCGGTAATTATTAAAATAATTGTTACATGCATTTTTATTTTTATTACTTAATTCAGTACGATTTTTTATTCTGTTGTGTCAATTCTACTTCCTTCCGGAAGCTTATGCGAAAAGACTACGTTAGAAGTTCTGATTTTCGACCCCATTGTGAGGAAAAAAACCTTTTTTTTTTCTTGGTAAAAAATCTTAAAATTATCGATTTTTAGTTTTTAATATTTTTGAAATCTCCGATTCATGACCTTTCTAGGGATATAATACATATGCCTTATTTTCAATTAAAAGTATGTCAAAATGACTTTTAAAAATCATCAAATGGTGGGCCACGCTCAATTTTGACAGATATTTGCATTTTAAATGTCCTGAAACAGTTTCAAAGCCTTCTTTTTATTTTTTCATACGCAATTAACTTTAGATAACAGTATAACTGTAACTTTAACTTTTTAATTTTGGAGCGTAATTCATAGTTAAATGATGACCAGGCCATTGAATTAGAATTATTAAATTATGAATATAGCAATATTTGTGGAATACTTACTTTGACAAAAGGTAAGATTTTTTATAAAAACTACTATTTTCAAAAATTATATTTTTAAGATTGTGTTTAAAAGAATTAAATTTTTCTAAATTTACTGTATGTGAATACACTGCAAGTTAACATTATATATTCTTTATGTATACTTGTGCATACTGAAGTGATATTTTGGAAACATTACAAAAACATTTAGCTAAAGAGTACATGTCGTAACAAAAAGTGACAAATTTGAATAAATTCAGCTATAATAAGTAAAAGTTGTTGTTTTTTTTCTTTCGAAAAAATTAAATATATTTGAAAAAATATCACTTCAGTATTTATATAAATGTTTCTTTATTGTACAGAGAAGTTTTTAGACTTAAATATTCAAAAGTTCCTGAATGAATGGCACCTACAAATAATTCAGATGTGCAATATCATTCGTCGTTTCAAGAAGCTGCTTACATACATAAAAATACATAAATATCATGTTTAAAAACATAAAAACAGTTTTGATTTGGCTGTTTTAGAAATCATTTGACCAGTTTAGAAAAATGTTGAGATCTGATACTTTTAGAAGTACCGTTTGCATGTGAATATGCAAAGCATTAATGAAAATTTTCGAGAAATAACGTATAATCACAT